CGGAAATGGGGAAAAATTTTGAATAGTAAAAACAATACATCTCAAAATTTTCCAAATTTTTTTTTTTAAATCGAAATCGATCGGAATCATGAAATGTGTCCCGATTTGATTACTCGGTGCTATAGCCCACGGGAAGTGATGCGAAACATTTTACTAATTCGATTAACTCGCCGACAACGACAACGGCGACTGCTCTCTCTCGTCCGTCCCCACACCCCGTTTATGCGCTACCGTAATGCCTGCTACTACTCGTTTTATCGGAGCACTACACAATGCTGTTCATTTTCTCAGCATTGATTTTCTACAAAAAAGTACAATTTTTTTTTAAAAAAAGTAGTGACCGGAACAGTCAGTAAATCACACGTAAGCAATCGGCTAAGAGGCGAAGCGGAAGTGAAAGAAAAAGGCAGAAGTTTTTCATTTTTAGGATACCTGCTGACAGGTAACCCGATACTAACAAGCCTATTTTGTACCACTGACCGCACTTCAGACTAAGATTACAAGGAAGGGATGTTCTTTACAATCTAATGCAAAACCGTACATACGCTGGTTAGAAGAGGCCTAAAGACAGCCATGGTGGAAGTGCAGCGACCGATTTGGGGACTACGTGAACTGAATTGATGTTAAAGTAGCCGAGCCACTGCTTCCAGTGTATGCCAACTGCAACACCGCAGTTCTGATTCGTAGTACCACGCAGCAATTAACAACAACTTCGAGCAGGATAAAGCCTACATCTAGGTGGAGGTCGAGACGTTGCGCAAACGCGTGGAATCCATACTTGCCTTATAGCACTGACAGGCTAGCTAGCAACTGATAAGTGAGTGGAGTTCATGTAAATGACTCAAATAGGACAAAAAGAGGATAGGGAGGTGTCCCAGTGAACCAAATATTTAAACATCAGCTTACACAGCATTGGTGCGTCAGTACAGGAAAAAAACGTTTAGGTAGTATCCAGCTACCACGCTTGAATCCAAATACACTTTCGTTTTCTTGGTCCAGCTCCAGGACAGGATAGAATGAAATTTTTCCCATTCCTCCCGTCCGATCACGATTTGTCCGTTATATGCATTCCAGAGAAGAAAGAACCATGGTTATTACGCATGCACATTAACATATATGATTGACGTATTAGCGGCGTTTTCTAAATCAGATTCGACAGACTTTCTCAAGCATCCATTCCTTTCACTATTTTCGCATTGCTATAATCAACCTTTAAAGCTATTCGGTGTGGTATTCTAAAATGATCCTAAGCTCCTCAATTAGATAAACTCCATAAGGGAAACGTTCCGCAACAAATAATTTGTTACGGGTTGGAAGAGGTGGGGGAAGGCAAGCGACAGTGTAATATCGGTAAGAAATGAGCGTAAATGAGTGATGATTGTGAACAGCGTGATAAATTACAGGCGAGCTCAATGGAGGGCGATGCATGGGCGATGAGTTTGCACCACGCCGAGAACACACTGTTACAGCACGGCAGTAGACGCAAATCGTTTTCAATTTTGAAATGCCTGCGCGACACGCATCTCGATTTCCCGCAATCGCCGATCACCAATTACATCCTCAAAACACTGCTTCTGTTCGAATGCGAGAAGCACTACAATGAGTACGAGTGGGAAGAACGATTCATTGGCGACCGTGTTATTGGTACTAGCTTCTTTATTTCTCTAAATTTGTGTACTGGATGCGATTCCTCCTTCTAGACTCAAACTGAGCTCAACACTGGAATGACGGCACCGATCCTTTCCCCAGTACATACCCTTCACCAAAACATACTCGTCCAAACTGTTAATCTCTTTGGCTTGCTTACCAAATTTCCGTTTATTACTGCTTCTAAAAAGTGGATTGACGCTTGCGCCTGGGACTAACTGCCGAAACCAAACTTATGCTGCTCTGAGGCGACAAATGCAGCAGCAAAATTAGCCCGAGATGCTTATGCACAAAACGCTAAAGCATATTCAATTCTAAGGAGCTAAAAAACGAAACCTGCCCTTACAGAGTTACACACATTAATATATGATTTCATGACTGCAAGAAACAGAAAAAGGAAGTGGATTGTTTGGCATTTTGTCTCATTTTATATTTATAAGCATAGCATTTTTCCGGAATGCTGTGAGTCTTGTCCTAAAAATCTCCGGATCATCGCTTTTATGACTGACTCCGTCTACGATACATATTTCAGCACATAATTATCAATATTCTCATGAATTCGTGTCCGGCAAACTTATTTAGTTAATGACGTAATACAAGCTTTCTCCCCACCTCCGGTTTCTTTCAGCTTGCTTAAATCTGCTAATGAAGTAGTGCCGAAAATCAGAAAATGTAAAATGTTTCATAAAGAAATGTTTTCATCTAATTAACTGAATTGGCCACGAGCGCCGTGAGTCCTGTCCTAAAAATCTCCGGGTTACTGCTGTTAGTGACTGTCTCCGTCTACGGTACGTACTTTCAGCGAAAAACCATTGATATTCTCACAAATTCGTGTCCGGTTGATTATTTAGTTAATGTCGCAGTATTGGCCTTCCC